CCTCTTGGGCAGTCTTCGAGGCCTCTTGGGCAGTCTTGGGGACTCTTTTGGGGCTGTTTTGGGGGCCCTCTTGGAGATTCTTGGGCTGCCTTGGCACGCTCGTGGGGGCCTCTTGGGCCGCGTTGGAGCGTCGGGAAGCTGAAAAAGCGAAAGCGCGAAAATCCTTCAAAAGCCAGCAGGATATCAGTGAATTCTGCCTCTCGGGACTCTGTTGGGAGGCCTCTTGGAGGCCTCGTGGGGCGTCTCGGAGGCCTAGCGGCCCGTCTGGAGGCCATCTTGGGCGTCTAGGAGCGATATTGTGGCGTCTCGGGGTCTCTTGGACCATCTCGATGGCTTCTTGGGGGTCTATTGGCTCTTCCTGGGGCTCCCTGGGAGGCCCCGAGGGCAGCGTCCAGTAGCAAAACCATCCTTGGCGGGACCTTGCCGGGGACCTGCCTGGGGTACTTTGCGCCCCTGGACCCCCAGGGGCCGCCCCGCGCGCGCGAACTATGTGTGTATATAGAAATACCCCTCGATCACCATGGCCTGCAATCGCCAGTACATGGTCTCGACTACAACACCAAATCGATCGACAACCCAGCTGCTCAGCTGACGCTGCCATCAATCCGTTGGCTCCCCTTGCGACGGATGGGGAAGACTCGGGGTGGCAGGCGCAAAAGTTGTCACAGGTCCACGAACGGTCCAGTGGCCAGACTCAATGGATCACACCTTACTCACCCGGCGTTCTGGCTACCGGACCGTTCGAGGGCCTTTGGAAGTTATCTGCGATTGCCAACCCTTCGAGAGGGGAACTAGCGAATTGATGGCATCGTCAGTTGAGCAGTCGGATTGTCGATCGATTTTGCGATGTTGCAGACGCAATGAGCGGCCGATTGCAGGCCAAGCTGATCGATCGGTTGCAAGGAGAAGCATGGAGGCTGGAGTAGGGAGAAGGCCGAGGAGGAGGAGGAGGAGGAGGAGGAGTAGGACAAGGAGTATCTTGACGGCAAATGGAGCTCGGAAACGGCCGCTGGGCGACGAAAAGCAGCGAACATCAATCAGGCGCAATCGGTTCAGCTTCGAATAGGAGCAAATTGCATACACTTTCGGGGGTCCGCGGGGAGTTCTTGGATCGGCTCTGGAACGCCTTCGCGGCGCCTCTGGCGCCGTCCCTCGGACAGTTGTTGTGTATTCCGTTGTCTGTTTCCGCAGAGTCGCCAGAGGTCTTGGACGAAGGATGCAGGAGTCGAGGGGAGCGGCCGCGTCGCCCGACACATCCTCCAGACCCGCCAGCTCTCAGAGGCTCTCGATCTATCTTCATGTAATGCTGCATGGATCCTGCCGTCGTGGTCCCAGACATCCCGCGACGTCTATTTGTATCCGCGGCCCCAGCGGTCTCAACCGCTTCCCCGGGTTGTTTCCGTTCCAGGCCCATTTTTGATAGCCCCCCCCGCCCGCAAACGGCCCCTTGGGATGCCGAAGCGAAGGGGAGGCTTGGGCGTGACAGAAACCCTCGGATGTCCCAGTAGGAGAGGGGGGGGGGGGCTAGCCCCTTCTTCTCTCCCCCTGCCGCTGTCTGTCTGTCATCTTACATGACAAAGACAGTCAACGCGCCTAGTAAGGACGCGCGCCTTCATCTAGGGTACCCTTGTGTCCTTGCCTCTGAGACCCGTCCTTGCCATTATCACTGGTCGCCCGCCGTCCTAAAAAAACAACTTCGGCCTCCAAGGGTCTTGCGTCCTTACCACGCGTCCTTACTATACGTTTTCACTGTAGTTCGTCGCCGCAGCCGGTCACACCAGTGACCTGACTGTTTAGTTTGATCAACCCCCCAGGGCCGACTGGCCCTGGGGGGGAGAGGCTTCGCTCTACAGCCATCAGGAACCAGGAGCCGGTGGGCAGCCGAGCCTCCTCTTCTCCCCGCGTGCGAGCGGCGCTGCCCGAGGTCCTCGGTGCCCGCGCGGCGTGTGCCCGACCTGGGCTGCGACGCGCAGTGCGCATCCCGGGGGGGCCTGGCGGCGCCGCACCGCCGTCCTGTGGAGGGATCTTGCGAGGGCGTCCGCGGTTCTGTCGGCTCGGCCACGTCGCAGCTGATCGCGTTTGGTCGGTTCGGCCGAGTCGGCTGCTGCGCCCTTCGAGGCTGCTTGCTCCCTGTCAGTTTCGGCTGGCCTCCGTTTCGCTGTCGGTCGGGCGGGTTGCCAATCTTGGTGTCGCCGTGAACGGCCTGGGATGAGGAGCAACTGCAGAAGGAAGAGGGCGGCATGAGGAGAAGGAGGAGGAGGCGGAGGAGTGCCCAAGAGGAGGAGGAGGAGGAGGAGGAGGAGGAGGAGGAGGAAGAGAAGGACGATGAGGACGATGAGGACGATGAGGACAAGGAGGAGGAGAAGGAGGAGGAGGAGGATGAGGAGGAGGAAAAGGATGAGGTACAGGAGAACGATGAGGGGGAGGAGGAGTATGAGGAGGAGCAGGAGGAAGAGGAGGAGGAGGAGGAGTGCCCCAGATGTTGCTGGTCTACGGCGCCTCGGGTCCGCGGTGCGGTCGAGCCACAACAGGACTGCTGTGGAGCGCATTCGGCAAAGGAGGGCCCCAGTCATCCGAGGGGCTGTTTCTCTCCAGTCTGAGCGTTTCCACCCTACCCATCGGTCGTTGAAAGTAGGTATTTCTGGACTCCCAGATTCCAATCTACTTTGAGCGCCTTCCTACTTCAATGATCGAGTGGCTTCACCTTTTCCGTCCTCCTTAGGGGACGGACGGAACCCAATCTATTTTCAACGCTTTCCTACTTCCTGTTTCTACCTACCTCTTCCGACCGATGGGTAACCTCGGACTGTGTTTCGAGATCTGGGGCCATCAGACATGGGTCCGGGGCAGGGAGCTGCCCCCGGGGAAGTGGTCGAGATTTCTGGGGCTGCGGTTTGGATCATCGAGCCGTCGCCCGTTTGCGCTTCGAGGGCTGGAATAAACCCAGGATGCGCCAGCGATGCTGTACACAACCTCCCTTTCCCAGGGTCAATTTCGATCCGATTGGTCCGATTCGAGATCGATTATGGCTGGCTCGATCCGATACGATCTTGGTAGGTCCACGATCCGAAGCGGCCCGATGGTTGCACGACTTTGTCTTGCATCTTGGCGTGGCCGATCCGATCCGATTTCGACTCCGTGCCGATACGGCCCGATCCGACGCACATTCCGACTCGATCGGACTTCTCTCGGACGGGGCTAGGACGAGGATAAATCCGTTACAAAGCGTTCCAGAACGCTACCAGAGCGTCCCGGAACGCTCTGAGAAGGTCGCCGCACCCAATACAGCCTCCACAGCCGCCGGATCTCAAAGATTCGCGTTCATCCGAATTATCGTTGTCCTGGCATTGTCTTACATTCCGAGTCGATCTGACTTCCCGATTCGGTGTTGATTGGTCTTTTGTCCCCGGGCCCCCGCTTCGTAAGCAGTCCCTGCAAGCTCACTGCAGGGGTCGTTCCCTCAGGCAAGGGCCCTCTGCTCTGAAAAGGAAGGCCCTCCCAAGTTTGGCTTGACACAAGGACTGCACGACTGCACGGCACGCTCTGGAGCTCAGGGGAGGAAAATGTGCCGATGCCGTGGCCATTCCTTTGTTGTCGCCCTCTTGGGCTTCCCGTGAGGCGCTCGTCGCCACCGCCAGACTCGCCTCGAAGTTCTGGTCAGAGCGCACCCCGGGAGGGGTCTGGGGAGCAGCAGGTTCGGTAGTTCCTGACATCCCCAATGGCTGCATGCCACGCTCTGTAGCATCGTCCTTGCTTCTGGATGTCTTGTCTCGCGTTCCTCCGTTCCTCCCTCTCTCCCTCCCTCCTTCCCTCTGTCTTTCCGCCATGCTGGTTGGAGGCTGTAGCTGATGTGGTGGAGTGGGGTGACTCCCTCTGCCATAATTCGACACCAAGGGCGTCCCATGTGTGCTCACCCTATTGCAGGGGTCGCCGTGGAGCTGCCCAGACCCTGCACGACGCGCATGTGACTTTCAATAATGCTTTTCCCTGTCTGTCCTGTCTCATCCCCTCCTCCCTTCCCCGGTAGCGTTGATACGCGTTTGGGTTTTATTCGTATCGCCCCACTCTGTGCTCCAGGCCTCCGCGTGCAGCTCTATGACGACTGCTGAGTGGATCGCTACCGACTGTCAGCCTGCATTGCCGTCGGTCCGATATCATCACCCTGGAACAACATCATTACAGTCCAGCGACCTGCCGAGTGAGGCCCCGACTTCAAAAAAAAGGAGGCCGCCTCCATCCGTGCAAGCTTTGAGCTTCGCTTGCCACGCCACACGGGACGTTCCAGCACGGGTCCTGCCTTCGGCGCGCCTCGCCGCTCCCAGAAGCCGGCGAAAAATTTCCACAGGGGTGGGCCCGCCGGCGGAAACCATGTGAGAAAGCCTCCTACGAGAGCACTGCCCTCCAGAGGCACGCAGCCCGCACAGGCCCAGCTCACGTCCAGCCTGGTGTCACCGCCGCGCCTGCCTACCTGCGCTGGCGGTGCGGTGCCAAGCCGGGAGCCCCGTCTGCTCCAGCCTCGCTCGGTCTGCCTCCGGAGGCGGGGCGTGCACCGCCCCCTCCCAGGCTTCGGACGCATGGGAAACAGAAAATGGAGACGAGGTGGAGACGGAGGCCCGTCGCCGTGCTCGACCTCTGGGGGCCCTCGCTGGGTCCCAGGGCCGTCAAGTCACATCCCTGCGGCAAAATACGAAAATCAATGGAATCGAGATTTTAAACAAATTAAATCGAGATTCAATGTTTTTTCGAATTGATCCTCGAGATTCCATTGCTTACCGATACGAAAAGCAGTTCGACGCCGTGCTGGAGAGAGGGGCATAGACGGGGACACCCATAGAGTGAGCATGAGGACAGCGGGAGGCGATGGCGCCCCAGCGATTCCCACACCGAGCACGGGGGTCGCCAGCCGTTTCGGTGAGCAGCGATTTGGAAGGAGCGCCGACCCAAGTTTAAACTTGTCGGAGATCGGCGTGGATTTCTAAGATCTGCTCTGGACCCCCCCTCCCTGGCGCGCGGAGCTCGCCAGGGGCGGCGCCAGAGGCGCCCCTGCCAGGGGGGTCCGGCGCCGATCCGAGGAGTCCACGCGGACCTCCGAGCGTTTGTGCTTGTGCCATTGGTTGCGTCCCTATTCCAGGGACCCCGTGCTCAAAAAGTTGCGGCAGCTGCCCCCCGTGCCCTTCACATGCCGTCGACCAGGGCCGGGGGAAAGGCCGGCTTCAGGCACACATCGTTCGCATCGCCGTCGTCGTCGTCGTTGAAGGCAGCGGATCTTTGGGCGTCTCTGGCGTGGCCCTCTGGCGTGCGCCCTCCCCGCGGGGATCGGCCCGCGGGCGCGGGCCGGGCGGAGCCGGCGGCGTGGCCCGCACGTGCCGCGGGCGCATGCTCCACGAGGCCGGGGGCCCAGCACCGTGGGGGGAAGTCGGAAGGGGCAGAGGCCAGGGCCAACACGAGGGAGTTCGTCTTAAGTGGGGCGTGTCCCTCTCCAGGATGAGAATTCAAGAGTAGTCCAGACATGGTATGGGAACGATTATTCGACTATGTGTTTACTATTTCCGATCATGTTTAACTCTTTTGAAACATGTGCCGGTCAAAATCCGCATGTAAGAGGACACGCCCGACCTACGGCTAGGGCCACCACGAGGGAGTGCGTCGCGCTTCGTTGCCTGGGCGATGTCAAAACGAGGCGCGAGGCCCTCAGCCTGTTCTGGGGGGGTTGGGGAGGCGGCGCCAAGATAATATAGCGCTTCGCGGAGCGCGAAGCGCGGAGATGGATGCCCTAGCAGTGGAGCCAGAGGTCGTGACGATGGCGCGCTCCACGATTTCCAGGTGGTCCTTCTGTCCCGCGCGGCCATGGACGAGTGGCCAAGCACGACTGGCCGAGGGCTGGTCGGAACTCTGGAGCTCCCGGAGCGCACCTCGAGCAAATCTCATCGTGGCATCTGCTCCCGTCCTGAAGGCGGGCGCAGGTCCAGGACATCCGCCGAAGGACCTCGGAGCATGGCACGAGCACCGGCCCTGGCCGGGCCGATCTTGGGCCCAGGGGGTCGGCGCGTGTGCCTGCCAGGCCCGGCCGGGAGAGCCCACGCGCCGATCCCGGGCCAGACGGGGTGGGCCTGGCCAGGACGGGTGCAGACGTGCCCAGCGGTCGTTGAATGTAGTGACTGCTGGGTTCCCAGACTCCAATCTACGTTAGGCGCCTTCCTGTAGGCAAGGGTCGAGTGGTGTTCCTCCTTCCTTCGTCTTCAGGGGGCGGACGGAAGCCCAATCTGTTTCCAACGCCTTCCTACTTCATGGTTCGACCCACTTCTTCCGACCGGCGTGTACAGTTGGCGCCCTCCCGCCCTCCCCATTTGGCGACTCGATAGAGTCGAGGCGGGCGGATGTTCACAGTCTGGGCTTATGATGCTCCAACCTACTTTAGCCTTGATCGCCAGGAAGAATTTCGAGCGCCCAAAAAGTACCGAAACTCAAGGGTTTTCGCGTGTCGGGCCCTGGGTGACACTCTCTCGACACTGTTTCGACACTGTTTCGACACCCTTTCCACACTCTCCTGGGTGCTCGAAATTATTTCTGGGATGCGGTCCCTAAGTAGGATGGGGACAACAGAAGTCTGGGCCTCTGGGGGATCAGTTCTCGGGCCGCCGGGCGAGCACGGAGCGACCTGGCTCAGCACCGCCGAGACAGGCACACGGCAACGGGTACTTCGGCAGCCCGCCGGAAGGCGCAGGAAAGCGGAGGGGCAGTGCTCGGGAGGGAGAGAAGGCACAGACCTAAGGGGTCGTCGATTGCCAGGAGGACACTGAAAGTGTTGGAAAAATTGCGGGGAAGACGAAGCCCACAAACGAATGCGAAAAGATTGAGGGTCTTGAGATTCGTGTAGATTCGTGTGTGTGTGTGTGTGTGTCCCTGGGCCCCTTTCTAGTGACTTTCCGAGCAAGAGAGTGGCAGGAACGCGCCACTTGCGTGCATCGGCCCAAGTCCCCGTCTCCTGAGTCCAGGAGCCCATGTCTCGAACATCCGAGCCGCGGGATGTCTGGGGTCGGGGGAAGTCGAGGCTCTGTTGTGCATTCCCTCCTTTTGCTGCTGCTGCCGCTGCTGCTCCTCCTTCTGCTCACTTGTGATCTCCCCTGGGTCGCTAGTGCTGCCTGGGCGCGCGGCGAAACACTCCTGATGATCGGAACGTCCCTCACGCGTTTGCGGTCACGCTTATGCCCGTCGCGTTACCATTCCATGAGCAGATATCGGAGGAGTGGGAGGACAAGGACGAGGAGGAGAGGTTCTAATCTCTCAAGAGCGTACCTGCTGAACAACGCATTAGCCAACGAGCATTTACAATGCCAGCGCGGCGTAGTGTCATGTGGAAGCGGGTCGGGCAATACCAAGTATGGCACAGGTGATTGTATGGCACGGTTTTGATTTCGGTTATTGCGCCTCGTGTCCGCATAGAAGATTTACCGAACACTATGGCATGCGTTAGGTTATGATGCTTTGACGTGCTTGACCCCGTTGCGCATTCCAGTACGCCGTGCGACGTAGATCTGTATTCGAAGTCGTGTGCATATCATGTGTTTTACAGTGTTGTGGCACGAGTGCGAGACCAGGCTTGAAACGTTGGTGCCGTAGCGTCTGGTAGTGAATTGATGTGCGCACCCACGTTACACTGGCTCCTCATGCCTTCCACTTGTATCCTCTGTTGAGATTCCCGGTTCCACATGTTTGCAACCCGTGGGGCAATCCCGCATCCGGGATTAATTCCAACCAGTTGGGACAAATCCCAACCAATTGGTACGTTGCCCAACCAGCTCGAAAAGACACATTGGTACGAATTCCAACCAGCCAAGTAACCTCACCGCACGATTTTAATAGTGCGGCGATGTCAGTACATGTCAGAACCAAATAAGTTGCTTATGCGTGCACATGTGCTTCAGAAGCTAGCATGATTGCCTGGGTTCGAATGTGCACCAGGTTTGTCTGGGGATGGTGCTGCAAAGGTCTCAGGGCTCCCGGGATCAAGGGCTTAGAGGGCTCAAGCGTCTAAGCGCTTAAGGGCTTAAGGGTTGAAACGCTGAAAGGTTTAAGGATTATATGTGTTCAAGGGCTTAAGGGACGATGGTTGCATGCAACGGTTTAAGTGCTCGAATGGCTCAAGTTTTTAAAGGGCTGAAGGGCTTAAAGGGACGAGGGCTTGAGTGCTTAAGAACTTAAAGGGCTTAGCGGGATCGAGGGTCTAAGGGCGTAAGGGATTTAGGGTTTACGGACTTACGGGCTTAAAGGCCTAAAGTTCAAGGGGTTAAGCGTTCAAGGGCTTAAAGCTTTAAGGGCTGGAGGGTTCATGGGCTCAAGGGCTGAGGGGTTGAAGGGCTTGCAAGGTCAAGGGTGAAATTGTTTAGGGGGTTACGGGCTTTCAGAGTTCTAAGGGTTAAAAGCCTTAAGGGTTGAGAGGCATGTGGGCCTAAGAATGCAAGGGTCTACCAGCTCAAGGGCTTAAGGGCGCAAAGGGTAAGATCTTAAAGGCACGTGGGCTTCAGGATGGGTTCAGCGGCCAAGGGGCCCATGGGCGCAAGGGTTCAAGGGTTTAAGTGCTTCGGGGCGTCAGAGACTTGAGGGTTTAAGGGCTCAAGGGTTTAAGGGCTCAAGGGTTTAGGTGCTTAAGGGCTTCAGGGGCGCATGGGCGTGAGGGGAGGAGCCAGCGCGCGAGGGGGGGGGGGGGGGAAGGAGGAAGAGGTGGCAGAGGCGGTGGAGGAGGGGGAGGAATGGGGGAGGGGGGGCGGGAGAAGGAGGGGGGGAGGAGGGGAGGGGGGGGAGGAGGAAGGGGGGAGGAGAGGCAGGAGGAGGAGGAGGAGAAGGAGGAGGAGGAGGCGGAGGAGGGGGAGGAGGGGGAGAAGGAGGCGGAGAAGGAGGAGGAGGAGGAGGTAAAGCAGGCGAATCGGAACATGGAGCATACTCCCTCGCATCCCGCGAGCAGGGGGAAAAGACCCCCCGCGAACCATACGGTACCTGGCCAGCGCCAAGTGCAACCTGGAGCACGACGCCTTTCAGACGCCTGTGGGCTTCTCATGGAGGTTGCGTGTGGTGGTTTGCGCCTGCGGTGTCGCTCCTCGCACCCATAGTACCGCGCTGCCCGCCATGCTGCTGTCGCTTGTTGCGCGTTGTCATGCCTCCCTGCTTCGGTGCACGTGCTGTGCTTTGGGGTCGTTAGGTAAGGAGTGTGCCCAGGAGGTTTCAGACTGCGAAGGAATCCCCATCTTAAGAGAGTGGCGGTGAGAGGCATCGCCGCTCCACAAGTGGAGTTCCACCAGCTTCCAGACCCTGGGTTCCGTATCCAATCCAAGACCCTCACCGTACATGTCGATGTGCTTCGTATTGTTTGAAACGTTTGCTTAGCGTGTCATGCCGCCGTATCTGGCCCACCACGCTTCGGCGCGACACGCGGTCCATTTCCCAGTTCCATAGCATCAACGCCCTGCGCGTTTCCCAGCCTGCCGCTCCGCGGAGCGGAGCGATACGCTATCGTCCTTACCCTGTATCATTTTCCTGAACCTCCTTCCCCTTCCTGCTCCTGATCCGCCTAACTCCCTCCATTTTGTTATTACCACGGCCGCTACTGCTGAACGGGTATAGCTGGAATTACTGGTACACTTCAGAAGACTACATGCACTGTCGTTTCTACATCTGCTCGTATTACGACCCGACTAACGCACGTAGTATGTTAGTCTTGCCAATGCTATACGTCCACGCGTCTCGTGAACGGCAGCATGGCTGCGACGATCACTACTATGTGTGTTGTCATTTCTACCGCTAGTGCCGCCGTTGCGTTTACTCCTCGTGTTGTGAACGTGGTCAGTCTTAATACCAGTTTGGTGGTTGCTATCACCGGTAGGTCAAACGCTACTCCTTGTTAGTTGTTTGCACGTGTGATGTTACGGCAATGCGTACAGCTACAAACCAGGCCACTTGTTACATTACGCATGTTGGTGATGCACTAGAACTCTCACCTCATCACCACCAGTAGCAGTGCAAGTATTGATACCACGGGCACTAATCCTGCTACGGCTGCACGCACCACGCCACTTTCTACCCTTCCACACCCCCTTCCCCTACAATGTCGCAGCTCCAGCCATTACGGTCACACTACCACCACTGTTCTCAACAACTCTCCAGTCTTTGCTGCCCGTCCCTCGTGCAGCATCCGTGCTCCGTCATTCCTCCTTCATCTCCTCCGTCTCCTTCTCATGACCACCCGTGCGAAAGGCACACCACCGCTTCGCCGAGAGCCAGGGCAAGGATGGCCCCGCCGCTGGCCAAGAGCTCGCCGAAAAGTTTCGAGCATTGTCGTGAGGTTGAGTCTCGCGGGTTTGGGAGGGAGGGGGGCAGGGACAGGGAGAGGAGGATTACGTATTCCAGAGTCAAGTTCCGATGGCACTATTGGGGGGCAAGTTGGGATCGTACATTTACTCAGCCCTAGCGGCAGCTGCCATTGATGAGCCGTGGCCACAAGTTCTAGCGGTGGATATTTCAAGAGCGCAATCAAGTTCGCAACCGCAAAGCCACCTCTCGTCGAGAGCCTGAGGACCAGCAAATTTATCTGTTGAGAGGCTCTGTCCAGTTGTTATTGCTTGTCATGTGCTCAGGTCGTTTGTAGGTGCTCGTCCTGTAGTTTCTCCTTGTCTATCATCCACCCTTCTCCATCTCATCTCCCTGCTTCTCCTTACCATTCCCGGTGGATCCTCTACACCACGTCCCCCCGATTCATTCACCTCACCCCGCATTCTGAACGTAGATTCCATATTCCCAAGCAGTGTTTGCACTTATGGGGTTCATGTTTCTGGAATTACGACGTGGGGGGGGTTGTTTGGCGGCTATGTTGTCGCCGTCGCCGCCCCGTTGCCGCCTCGTCGCCGCCCGTCGTCTGGGCTTGGTTGTCGGTCTGGCGGCTCCGTTGTCGCCGTCGCCGCCTCGTCGTCGCCGCCAATCGTTTGGGCTTGGTTGTCGGTCTGGCGGCTATGTTGTCGCCGTCGCCGCCTCGTCGCCGACCGTGTTGTTGACCGTGTCTTCGGTTTGGCGTTTGCGTGACCGTCGCGACGCCGCCCCGACATCGATTGCACAACAAAGATTGCCCTACATAGGTTCTCCTTTGTCAATATATACATATATATATGAACAGATACTTATGATCCACCACCCACCGCCCCCGGCTTTGTCGGACCACGTTTTCTGTTGCAATGTACATGTGATTCTACCCCATCGTCCATCCTAAATATGAGTTCCGACCATCCAAGCCAGGCCGGTATCGACTCCCCTTCATCCTTTGCAAAAAATCATATGCGCGCACTCGTTTATCCAAGATTATCAGTTTTCAATAATCCCTTGCAACAAATAGGACGACGCGCACACGTGCGCGTCGTCGCACGCGCATGCCGAAATCCTTCAACTTGTTTTCGGTTTCGAAAGAGTTTCAAAATTGGGATTCCAAAAGCATATAAAAACACACGGCTTCGCAACACGGATTCTCAAGACAAGGATAAATACACAAAAAACGAACAAACAAAACAACAACAAATTGCGCGCGTTCTTGCGAATTCTTTTTTATAAAAAACATGGTTTGTTTCAACCTGTTTTCAGTACATACTACCAAAGGGGGTTCGCGCGCGCATGTCGAAATCGTTCGAACGCCTCAGCGCGCGTACCGCCAAAATCCTTCTTGCAAAAAGTGGGACGGAGTGCGCACGTGCGCGTCGTCGCGCGCGCATGCGAAATATTTTGTTTGACAAAACCTTCGATTTCGCAGCGAGTTCAAAACCGAATGCCCAACACACTTTCAAAAACACCAGGTTGCGCAACATCAGTTTTCAAAAAAGCTCGCGCGCGCCCCGGCGAATTCTTGAGAAAACCATCGGTTTGTCAAAATTGTCGTAGAATTCTGCCAAAGGGGCCTATGGCGCCGCATGCCGACATCATTCGCACGCCCTTGCGCGCGTGCTGGGGGGGCACGACCCGTGTCAAATAACACAATGCGGGCCACTCTTGCGCGTCGGCCGCTTGCGCATGCCAAACTCTTTCCAAAACCTTCACCACCGGCGCGAGGACGCCGTCATCGTCGCTGGCGTGATCAGCATCGGCGCCCGTGTTGGCCGCGCCTGCGTCGGTGCGAACATCGTCACCAGCATCGCCACGATCATCATCGCGTCTACCGTAGTCGGTGTTGCCATGATACTGCGCCCCAAGTCGCCGACTCGCATTGAAGTGCCCAGTTGGATGCGCCCAGCGGTCAGCGCCACCGTGGCCGCGTCGGTGGCGCCAAACCAGCTGGCCGCTGCGCGCGCGTACTAGGGTTGGCGCGGCCGCAGAGATGCACCAGCCAACGCCAAGCATGCATCGCAATCGCCACGGCATGGGTTTTGCAAACCAGGTTGCGGGTGGGTGGGTGGGCAGAGCATGGGATGTGTCAATTCATGGGTAAAAATCAATTGCACCACATAGACCGCACCACATATATTGCACAGAACAATCCGCGCAAAAGCGATTCCAACACAAATTTGACACCACATGTCCTGTACTTCATTTTTTCGCTCCACATATTCTGTGCCACGTAGACCGCAATGTATATATTGTGCCACATCGATTCTCCTTTCGCTGATGAAAAATCATAAGTTCCCCCAAATCCCCTGCAACAGATGGGACGAAACGCTTACGCGCGCGTCGTCGCGCGCGCATGCCGAAATTATTCAAAAACTTTTCCTGGTTTCGAAGGAGTTTCAAAATCGAGTTCCCCCCCCAAAAAAAAAAGCATGCAAAAACATAGGGTTTCGCAACACGAATTTGCTACTAAGACTTACGCGCGCGCTCTTGCGAAATCATAAGAAGACCATAGATGTTTCAAGATTGTCAAAAACAATACTACCAAACGGGCTGCGCGCGCGCATGTCGAAATCGTTCGGTCGCCTTTGCGCGCATGCCGTCGCGAGAATCCTCTGCAACAAATGTGACAAAATGCGCACGCGCGCGTCGTCACGCGCGCATGCCGAAATCCTTTCGAAAACCTCCGTTTCCGGAAGGATCTCAAAACCGAGTGTCCAAAAAACATACAAACACACATGTTTTCGCAACACGGATGTGCAACAAAAGCGTGCGCTCGCGCTCTTGCATCGTCGTCGTCGTCGCCGTCCTCCCTCCTCCCTCGTCGTCGTCGTCGTCGCCGTCGTCGTCCTCTGTGTTTCCTCGTTGTCGTCGCCATCTTGGTGTCGTCGTTTTTTCCGTCGTCGTTGTCGCCGTGGTCGACTTTCCTCCCTCGTCGTCTTCGTCGGCGTTTCGTCGTGGTCCCTCCTATTTCTTCGCCGTCGTCGTCGTCGTCGTCGGCGTTGTCGTTGTCGTCGTTGTCGTCGTCGGCGTCGCCGTCCTCCCTCCTTCTTCGTCGTTCGCGTCGTCGCCGTCCTCCCTCCCCCCTCGTCGTTGTCGTCGTTGCCGCCGTCGTCGTCCTCCCTCCTCCCTCGTCGTCGTCTTCGTTGGCGACGTCGTCGTCGTCGTCTTCGTCGTCGTCGTCGGCGTCGTCGTCGTCGGCGTCGGCGGCGTCGTCGTCGTTGTCATCGTCGTCGTCGTCGTCGGCGGCGTCGGCGTCGGTGTCGCCGTCGTGTCGTCGTCGTCGTCTGCGTCGTCGAAGTCGTTGGAGACGTCGTCGGTGTCGTCGTAGTCGTTGTCGGCGGCGTCGTCGTCGTCGTTGTCGCTGTCGTCGTCGGCGTCGGTGTCCTTGCCAAGTGCCATTTGGTACCCACCGTCACGGTCTCAGGAGGTTTTGCAAACCAAGTTGCGGGTGGGCGGGTGGGATGTTTGCGCGAGAAGTGGGGTGGACAACTCACCGCGAACAGAAATTAGTTGCACCACATAAATTCTCTTCCTCTTTAGTGTAGACTCAACCCCCCCCCCCGGATTTAACGATCCACCTTTTCGTATTGCAATGTACATATGATTCTGCCCCATCGTCCATACTAAATGTGAACTCGGACTATGCCAGCCAGGCCGGTATCACTCCCCCCCACGATCCTCTGCGAGAAATACGATGCGCGCACTCTCTGTCATCACAAATCATAAGTTTTCAAGAATCCCTTGCAACAAATTTGACGAAGTGCACACGCGCGCGTCGTCGCGCGCGCATGCCGAAATCCTTCAAGAACCTTCGGTTTCGGAAGGAGTTCAAAATTTAGTTTCCAAAACACACACACACACAAAAAAAACAGGTTTCGCAACACTGATTCTCTAAAAAAACCTACGCGCGCGCTCTTGCGAAACCTTCAGAAGACCATAGGTTTTTCAAGATTTTCCAAAATGTGCGCGCGCATGTCGAAATCGTTCGATCGCCCTTGCGCGCGTGCCGTCGCGAGAACCCTTTTGCAAACATTGGGACGAAGTGCAGGCGCGCGCGTCGTCGCGCGCGCATGCCGAAATCTTTCAAAGACCTTCTGTTCCGGAAAGATTTCAAAATCGTGCGTCCAGAAAAATACAAAAACACTTGGTTTCGCAACACGGGTTTTCAACAAAAGCGTGCGCGCGCGTTCTTGCGTCGTCGTCGTCGCCGTCCTCCCTCCTCCCTCGTCGTCGTCGTCGTCGCCGTCGTCGTCCTCTGTCTTTCCTCGACGTCGTCGTCGTCGTCTTGGCGTCGTCGTCGTTTCCGTCGTCGTTGCCGCCGTGGTCGTCCTTCCTCCCTCGTCGTCCGTCGTCGGCGTCTCGTCGTCGTCCCTCCTATTTCGTCGCCGTCATCGTCGTCGTCGTCGTCTTCCCTCCCCCCTTGTCGTTGTCGTCGTCGCCGTCGTCGTCCTCCCTCCTCCCTCGTCGTCGGCTAGTTGCCTCAAAGAGCAGGCAATCCAAAAAATCCTCGTCGTCGTCGTCTTCGTTGGCGACGTCGTCGTCGTCTTCGTCGCCGTCGTCCTCGTTGTCGGCGTCGTCGTCGTCGGCGACGGCGTCGCCGTCGTCGTCGTCGGCGTCGTCGTCGTCGTCTGCGTCGGCGTCGTCGTCGTCGTCGGTGATGTCGTCGTCGTCGAAATCGTCGGAGACGTCGTCGAAGTCTTTGGAGACGTCGTCGGTGTCGTCGTAGTCGTCGGCGGCGTCGGTGCCGTTGCCAAGTGCAATTTGGTACCCACCGTCATGGTCTTAAGAAGTCTTGCGATCAAGTTGCGGGTGGGAGGGTGGGATGTTTGCACGGGCAGTGGAGAGGACAGTTTCAGGTTGAGCAAGCGACTGATTCTCCTTGCTAGAAAGAGAATATATTCGACCCCCCCTCGGAATTACTGATCCCCT